AAAAAAAAAAAAAAAAAAAAAAAAAAGTAAAGATTGGGAATAAAGCTCAGTGCAAAGGCCCTGGGTTCAGTTCCTCAGTAGCTAAATAATAAAAAGGGCTGGGCATGTAACTCCATGGTGTAACGCCATGGGTTTAATTTCCAGTACTGAAAAAAATAAAAGAGGAAATGAAGGAAGAAAGAAAGATAGACAGACAGAAAGAGGATAGGGCCTAGGCTGACACTGTACTATTTCTTTCTAAAAAAAATTTCTAGTGTAGTAAAATACGCAGAACACAAAATTTCCCATTTAGCCTTTTCAGTGGACAGTTCAGTAGAGTCACATTCCCTCATAATGTTGAGCACCCCTCTCTGGAGCCCTTATCCTCCTTGCCAAACTGAAAACACACAGCCTTTAAACAGGACCTCTCCACAGCCTGGCCACTGGGAAGCATTAGTCTACTTTGCTCCTCTCTGACTTTAACCGCACTACGTTGGCGCTATCCTGGCTCTTCAGAGTATATCTGTGCTGCTGTGGGGCCACCTGTGTTCAGTGTCAACAAGACGAGTGGTGTGGACAGCCCAGGCCTCCGGGGTTCAGAGGAGGCAGAGCTCTTCCAGAGCAGGGTGGTCAGAGAGGGCTCCTTGGAGGAGGAGGAGGAGGAACAAGAAGAGGAGGACAAAGAAGGCACACCAGTCCCTTGGTCTCCACTCCTTGTCCCCGAAGGTGAGGCAGTGGGGAGAGTGACTCAGAGATTCTCGACGCATGGCCTGCCCTTTGGTTTACGAGGCCACCTCAGCAGCACCAACCTTTGCCCCAAGAAGATCACCTGTCCAAAGGGTGGAGACAGCAGACCATCCAGGTGGCTTGCCAGTGGAACAGAAGCCTCCGGAGCTATGGGAACGGGGCTTCGCAGCTGCTCCTTTCGAGGACCCCGGCCCTCCTATGGGAAGCTCCAGGAGGGACAACCCCGGCGGGCACTGAGCCTCCGGCAGGGGCATGAGAAGTCCAGGTCCCATGGCCTGGATGGAGTCCCAGAAGGGCTGATGGCCTCTGCTCAGGAGCAGCTGCCCGGGAGCCTGGGGGACACAGAGCAGCTGATCCAAGCCCAGCGACCAGGCAGCTGGCAGTGGTTGAAGCAGTACCAACAGGTACACCTGAGGGTTGAATGAAGGGTGGTACCCTTGCAAGAGAGAGCAGGGCTCCCAGGAGAGGCACTAGGGCGAAAAAGGCCCAGGGTGGACGCACACAGGCTGGGGACCAGGAAGACTGCATATCAGTCTGGTGGTGAGACTGGAGAGAGAGGCACCCAGAGGTCATATTTAAGAGGGCCCTGAAGATGTTCAGAATTTTCCCATGGACCCTGGGAGTCACTGAAGATTTTAGGCTGGAGATGGGTGTGTGTGTGTGTGTGTGTGTGTGTGTGTGTGTGTGTGTGTGTGTGTATGTGTGTGATAGAGCTGTTTTAACATGCTCGATGTGCTATATAGTATGTCGGACGGGTGATACAGCAGGAGGCAAGATCAGCCAACATGTCTTCCCAGGGTTATTTATATTTTGTACCCCTCTTGCCCTGGGGAAAAGGAGAGATCCAGATCACCTTGGGAGAGGTGTGAGCTGCTGGCCTTGCCTCCAGGAGAAAGGACTGCAAGTGAGGGGCGCTTCTCCCTGGGGTCTACCCCCACCTCGTGCCTGTGTGTAGAATGGCACCAAGCCCACTAGTTGGCCCTGGATCCTAATCTCCCCCACCCTGGTCTTCCAGCAGGTGCAGCGAAGGTGGGAGAGCTTTGTGGCCAGCCTCCCCCGTGTGACATTGAGTCGATCGGCCTCCCCAGAGCCCCCGCTGGACACCACCAGCTAGCAATGCTGGAGGATGGTGGCCCCTTGCTGACCTGCCTCTGTGGCTCTACTGGACTATGGACTGCTCCAGCCTGTGTCATGTGGTCTAAGGAGGCCCCCTCCAGCCCACTCGAAGCCCCATGTGGCTGTCCCTCGGCCATGGCCCTCCCACTCCAGGGCTGGCTCTCAGCAAAGACCCCAGTGGGGCTGGGGAGAAGGGGCCAGCTCTGTGCCCTCTGGGCTTGGAGCGCCCAGCACTATGATGCACATGAATAGTTCTTAGGAGCCTAAGAAGTGGAGGTGTCGATGCCCCCAGCCCCACACAAGACCCCACAAGATCATTCACCTTCCAGGACAGAGCCTGAGGAAGCCAGACTTATAGCTGAGAGGCTCTTGGATGGACATCACTTGATCACAGGACTGACCTGCTGCTGGTCAGCTGCTAGCGAGAGGCCAGGACACATGTCCCCTTCCAGACAGTGAGCCCTCACGGGCAAAGACCATGTCTGGGAGGCCCTCAGTGCTGGGCACTCTCTGGCCAATAGGCTCCACCTGTTTGTTGCTGCCTTCAGGTCTCAAAGTATACAATGAAGGAAGCAAGGGGAGCATTCCCTCTCCATGTGACAGAGGGGAAACTGAGGTGAGGGAGATCTATTATTTTTGTCATCTCTCACGCCACCCACCCGCACCAGTGCCCACCACTGTGGTTAAACATGGGAATAAAGCTATGCTGCACTAAAGTGAACAAGTTGTCCAGTGACATGCATGCTTGGTGCCTCTCCCGATCCCTGTAAGACTAGGGCTTTCCTAGCTCTAGCAGACCCATGGTCAAGAGAAAGGGAGCTGCAAGGCCTGGCTGTCCTGGTACAGGGTCTGTTTGGGGGTTGAGGAGGTATAACAGATAGAGAGGTGGTCTCTTTTTTCCCCCAGAGCCCAGAACCATGGAGGGGCACTCGGAAACAAGAGAGGTCCTTGGGAAAGTGCTGTCACAGACAGCCACTAACACCCTAACTAGGAATCTGGACAGAGCTTGGGCAGCTGACTGCAGGTGCTCCCAGCTCAATCCTTTCTGTAGCAGCACTAGGGGTGCCTTGGGGAACCCCAGGAATCCAGAGAGCAGTTTGCACCCACACCCTTGCCCAGCCATTTCAGAGTCTGCAAGAGGAAGATGGACCAGGCAGCAGGAGGGACTTCACATTCTTCAGTGCTCTGCCCTTGGGGCCCACTCTGGCCTCTTTGTTCCCAGAGATAAGGCCTGTGATCTATTTGTCTACTTCCATGCCTGTCTTCCACCAGGCCAAAAGTTCCAAGGAACCTGGTCTGTCCCCTGGGACAGGCTTTGGGCCTGGCACTCAGTCGATGTTCTGAAAGTGACTATTGAGTGAATGTCAAGGGACAGGCTCAAGGTCACACAGGGAGTTGATGGCTGAGCCAGCCTGCAGTTCATGACCTGGGTGACTCTCACTTGGCTAGAGCAATTCCTACAGTCCCACCAGCAACCCTGTGGGCAGGCAGGTAATCTCTCCAACAGGGTCTGAGCCTGTTAAAAAACTGGTCCTCAGGTGTAAGGAGGCCAGAAGGCTGGCTCAATGGTTCCTAAATTGGGCTACCACACTTTAGTTAGTAATTATTCCTGGGGAACCTTAATACTTAAATAGTGAAAGAGGAGAAGAAGGAAAATCATTTCTGGAGGAATCACCATGGGCACTGCTGGGCCTTGTGCCAGGTCATCAAGGAAACAGTACGGCTCAGTAGTTGAGTGCACCAGCAAAAGAGCTGGACTGCCAGGGTTTGAATCTGGACCTGGGAAAGTCACTAACTTTCTCTGCCTCAGTTTCCTCATTTGTAAAATGTAACTAATAACAGCACTGAATAACTGAATGCAGGTGCTTAGAATCACACAGAATAGAAAAACGGTCCTCCAATCTGATATAATCCCCACGACAGCCACCCAGGGTGGACATGATTTTCTTTGTTCTACAAGTGAAGGAATAAGAACTCAAAAAGTGAAGTGACCACTCAGAGGCACACAGCAAAGATAGGGTGACCTCTGGGCCCAGGCTCATGCCAAACCCCGAGCTCTCTAAGGTTTCATGCTGGAACATCAGGCCCAGAGTGAGGACCCCCGGGGAGCCCTAAGGCCCCCAACCCAGAATTGGGGCTCAGAGGTGCAGGCACTTGTGCCTGCTGTCACCTCCTGCCCCGTCCCTGCCTTTCTCCCACTCTGTTCCCACACTGTGGCCACACTGGCCTTTCTGATCCTGGAATGACTGGTCCCTTGTCACTTTAGGGCCTTTGTACATTTGCTGCTCTCTGCCTACACTGCCATTTTCTCCTCCCTTTTCTAACTTATTTTCTCTTTATCCTTGGTTCAAATGTCACACCTGTGTCCCCTAGGCCGGGCTGGTCACCCTTATGTACTCTCCTCAGAGCAGTTAGAGATTGGGTATGAAGTGGGTTGATGGTGTCTCCCTCCAAAAAAAAAAGTATTTACAGATAAAATTAAGGATCTTGTGATAAAGAGATTGGTTTCATCTTAATCCAATGATAAGTTTCCTTATTAGAGGAACAAGCAAAGGAAATAAGACAGAGGCAATTTGAAGCTGGAGACAAAGTTTGCAGTGATGTGGCCACAAACCAAGAAGCCACAGATTTTCTGGATCCTGGGGAGGAAGCATGGCCCTGTCAACACCTTGATCTTGAACATTTGGCCTCCAGAGAGAATCCATTGTGATTGTTTTAAGCCTCTGAGTTTTGGGTAACATTATAGCAGCTACAAGACCTTATAGTATGTTTGGGGGGATGAGGCCTTTAGCACGGTCCCTGCCATTGGTTGCACTGGAACATAGGTACAAAGACAGACCTCCACTGAGCTAAGCCATTGGCTTAGGGTGTGCTCTTTTTTTTGTACCAGGAATCAAACTCAGGGACTCATGCTTGCCAGGCAGATGCTGCACTGTTGAGCTACATTCCCAGCCCTTAGGGGTGCTCTGTATAGCCACAGCCTCCATAGATTCATCTCATGTCAGGACTCATACCCCTCGATAAGGAATTCAAGTGAGGTAGCTTCCTGGTGGGTCAGCTTCCAACCAGTCAGTGAGCCAGCCTCACTGAGGACATTCTGCACCTCATAGCAGGCGAGGTGGCAATGCAGCAACCATAGAGACATCCCTGATGCAGGTGGTCACCACAGTCCATGCAGAGGCACAAGGCAGAGGTCTGAACTTCTCCCTCTTCACCCAGGCCAGTGCCAGCCTAATGGCTGAGTCTCAGTCTCATATTTCTTTGTTCTAATTCAGCCTCCCAGGCCAAGGGGTCTCTGCTAGTCTTTTGGAGGGTCTTATAGCTAGAAGCTAAAGGGACCTGAGTCTCCTGGCTCACCCTACTGAGCTCCAGTCTTTCCCAATCACCATTCCTGCCTCATACAGCTGTCTCACCATGTTTCCAGGACTGGGAAGCTTACTACTTACGAAGAGTTGATCTTTACATGTGACCTCTGCCCTCAAGAAGCTCACAGTCTGGCCAGGGAGCAAACAGACAGATAACCACTGCTCTGCTATGAAGCAGAATGGAATAAATGCTCACTGAGGTAGCATGTGAGGGAGATTCAATGGAGGCCCAGGATTCTTGAGCCAGTGTGACACTCTGAGCTTGGCTGAACGCCCTCCCCCAGGCTCCTGCAAGCTTCCTGCCAGACAGAAGGCTGTGAGCAGGTAGAAAAAAATACCTTGCAGGAGAAATAGGGCCATTTGGCTGCACTAATGGGAAATGCAGTGAGGCTAGCAGATAACACTCTGTCCCTAGCCTGTGTCAGAGCCAGGCTACAGATAGATGTAGGATAGGAGGGCCCTTGACTCCAACAGACCCAGCATTCCTTCCCAGGGAGGCATGAAGCTCAGTGTGCACAGCCTGGCAAGGAACCAGGTGAGGGCCAAGCCTGGGTGTCAAGCCTGTGGCCCAAACCTCTTCCCTGGAACTAACTCGCTTGGTGACCATGGGTAAAATCACTCTGCTCTTCTGGCCTTAATTTCTCCTCTGTAAAATGGGGATGGTGATCTTTGTCTCCTTCGGGCAGAAGAGGACATGAGGCACCAAGTGTACAAAAGTTTTGCAAGCTTTAAGAGAGCTGTGTCCTGAGAGAGATACTTTTCTCCTCTTTTCTCGTTATCCTCATCATCAGGCTGGAGAGCAATTTGTAAAAGATCTGAGGCCAAACTGCCTGAGTTTGAATCCTGGCTACACAACTTACAAGCTGGGTAACATCAGACAATTCCTTGACCTCTCAGTGCCTTTATTTCCTTATTTATTCCATAAAACGAGCAGTCCCTCTTCACATGATTGTTTTATTGCCTGAGTTAATGTATGCAAAACATTATAGGGCAGTTTATCAGCCCCTGGGTCTTAGTAGCCAGTTCCAGGGAATTCTCCCCACACATGGGTAGAATGTGTGGGTAGACAGGGTAGGTCCCTGTCTGAACCTCAGAGGCCTCCTCTGGGAAATGGGGCTGTTAATAATAGCTCCTGGCTCCAGGCCACCAGGGGATGAGATGGGCCAAGGCACACACTGTGCTGAGCCCAACGCCAGCCCATGGAAGTGCCCTCTCACAGAAGACAGCCCAGGAAGCCTGGCTCTTGAGCCCAAGCCCGGCCTGTCCCCAGCTCACTTCAGCTGCGCTTGGCCTCGGCAGGGCTGTGAGTGGCAGAGAGGAGCCCTCAGGATCTGGGAAAGTGGGCCAGCCACAAACTAGATGGCTGCCCGGGGGCCTCCCAGGAAGGACCTCCACTTAGAGCCTGCGAGGGAGGGAAGGGAATGGGATAGGACAAGAGAGGAAGGCGCTTGGTCCTCACTGCGCCTCCCTCACCATGGCTGCTTCCCACCCCACCACCACCCAGCCAGGCCCCAACTCCCTGCTTTGAGTCCCAGGCACAAGCAGGCAATCTGATCATTTTTTGGCAAGGCTCCCTCAGAGGACTTCAGAGAGGGCAAGAGAACATATCCCTCTGCATGTGGCCACCAGGGGTCAACCCCGAGGTTGACCCACACTCTAGCAGTCATATGGGGTACAAAGGTGTCTAGAAAAAGGCAGAATTAGCACTAGGAGTGCAGGCATCTGGAAAGGTCACCTGAGGAGAGGGTGACCCTAACCCCAGTGGAAGAATCAGGAGGGTGTGTCCAGCAGGAGAAAGAACACAGGCAAAGGCATGGTGACCCAGGACAGCTGGGATGTTGGGGGACTGTGTGCAACTCATAACTTCTGCTAGGGAAAAAGTGGAAGTGGGGAAAGCAAGAAGGTAAAGAAGGACCAGTTTAAAATTAAAGCAGTACAATAACACCACAGAACAAGAAGCAACCAGGAAGTATGTGCCTCCTGATGGGAGAAACCCATGAGAGTCTTGCCCCAAAAGTCACAACTGAATTTTATCAAGCTTGCATATCCAAGTCCCAATTTCCAAGAACCCCTAAGGACAGAGAAACAAGTTAAACTTCACCAGGAGGTTGTGACCAGCAAAGTGCAGATTGTAGGGACCCCTACAGGGCAAACAGCCCAGCTCCGCCCGCCCCCCAGCAAATAAATTGCCAAGAAAAAGAGTGGGAAACTCGAGATGAAAGGAAAATGGAAAAATTAACCAATTATAATGTATTAACTTTATTTGGAGCAAATAAACTTTTTTTTTTTTTTTTTG